AGGCAGGGCCAGGCACCCTCTCACCCACCTGCTCTCCTCTCTCGCCAGGGATGCCGGGCACGCCACGGGCCCCCGGCACCGACTGTCCAGGGGGGCCTCTCTCTCCCTGCAAAGGATGCACACTCGGGATCCGGCTGGGGGTTCTGGAGCCAATCTGCTCTCCCCTGCACCACGGATGTGCTGCTTTCCCCATCCCTGCACCTTGGGGACGTCTGTGCAGGTGGGGAAGGGGTTGGGGATGGGGACTCACCTTCTGGCCCTGCATGCCCTCAGGACCTCGTGGGCCAACACTCCCTGGGGGCCCGGGGGGGCCAGGAGCACCATCGCTACCCCGGGGACCAGGACCACCGATAATGCCCGGGGCACCCTGTGGGAGCGCAGAGAGTGAGGCCAGGAGCTTTTCCACAGATGGGCATCCCCGAAGCACTGACACCAGTGCTGCCTTCTAAATAGTGGGGATTTGCCATCGCTTATAGTTTAGTTTAGCTCAGCTTTTCTGGGAGCATCAGACTCTGCTGCGCTTCTGACCAAGGACGGATCCTGGTAAAAGCAGTGCTGTGCCATGCATACCGTCCCTTTCCAGCCCGCTCACCCGGTCTCCTTTCTCCCCTTGGTCTCCTTTGGCTCCCTGCTGCCCGTCAAATCCCCGGTCACCCTGCAAAGAGGAAGGGGCAGGCAGCGGGGGGCAGGCAGTGGGGGGCTGAAGTGCCGTCATGGCTTTTCCCTGCACTGCCCTGACATACCTTGGGTCCCATGAGCCCCTCCTTCCCAGGGATGCCCGGTGGTCCCGATAGACCCAGCTCTCCCTGGGGGACAAAGCAGATGTCCATCAGCCACCAGCTGCGTGCCCCTGTCCCTGCCTAGTGCCAGCGGTGCTTACCGGCTCGCCCTTCCTCCCTGGCAGCCCCGAGCGCCCCGGGATCCCCGGCTCTCCCTACAGCGGGCAGGAGAGAGGCAGAGTGGTCAGTCCTGCGCCCCTTGATGCTCACCCCAGAGCTGTGGGCAGAGGAGGGCACCCCGTGGCCCTGCCCTGGGGCCG